TATATATATATATATATATATATATATATAAAAGCGATATAAACTAAATTAAATAAACAAGAAAAGTTATCTTCTGTTTTGCATAGAAGAATAAATAAGAAGTATAGTTTCTTCATAATTATTTCAGACAATGATAAGTTAATTAAATTAAACATGTCTCAGAAGATAATTAATCGGAAAGAGATACAGTACGAGTACGATTTCAAGAATTTGTATTCCAAGAAATACAAAAAATTGTAATAAATCTCGCTTAATTTTTGTCCGAAATCAGTAACACGTACAAACAGCTTTCACTGCAGACATCATTTGCTTTACACATACACATCGTATAATATACTAACTTACGAAAGAGCGCATGTTTTTCTATACAAATCGTAAGAAGACTTTGTACCGCGAATGAAAACAATTTCTAAGATCGTAGGTTAAAGGATCGTTGGCCTCGTCACTGATATATATGTTACTGATTACGCACTTGAATACGTCGTAAAATGGATCGCGAAGAGCATCGCTCTTTTTCATTTTCTGGAATAATAAATCGCATTGGCAAAATAAAAAATATATTCTTTTTCCTATTATGTGTTCCTATTATCTTCGTTTTTTAATAACATATTTCTTCGCTGTGACAGAGAATACAATAAGTATTAATTAAATGTAGGATTTCACGAATACTCATTTTCCAGCAAAAGCAGGATACTCATAGTAACAGTTTTTCCTCCGATTGCTCCACTTCTTATTATACAAATGAGATACAGTTCATAAAAAATATCTTACATCAATGTTTATTTATAGTAAATGTAAAAAGTATTCGTACACGAAAGATATAATGTAATATAAAAATATAAAAAAAAGTCTTATTTGTAGAAATAAACAGTAACGTTTCTTTTAGTATAAACAAAAGAGCTTCTCGAAAATAATCGTATTCATGTTTAACTGTATGATTTGTGATACCAGGAATATAATTTTTTATTTTTGTTTATTATTAAGATAATAAACTTTAATTATTACACATCCTTTTAAGTAAAATAATTTTGAGAAATAAACACAATCCATTTTATTTTTTGTTAATAAATTGCCAATAATGCCAATTATAATGGCTATTTTCTAAAAATAATATTTTTTCTTAAAGATATCTCTTTTGACAGAACAAATTTCGCGGAATAGTTAGCTGATTTTATTTAGATATATTAACTGAAATATAACAGCTGTACTAATTAAATGAAAATTCTCATTTTTAGCGAAATACATCTTGCAATGACACTGTCCGTTTATAAATAATTCATAATGATTGGATCTTTGTTTGATGCAGTTGCTTCTGCGAATCGTATCACCCTCTCTACTAACCATACACATTTCTTTTGCCAATTTGTTGTGTCAGAATGTGATTTCTTGGGGCTATATAAACGCGTGACCATATCGTAAGACGTGATAAACTCTTTGATCAGGAGTAAGGATTGACCCAAAATAACTGTGGAAAACAGTCATCTTCTCATCTGTTATCTGAAGCTCAAGATAAGTTCAGTTGTTTTTGAGAGAAAAAGGGAGGCGACGTTGCCAATGCGAGTTTGAAAATTGTATTGTTCAATATAAAGTAGCTGTATTGTTTGACAAAGTGAACAGTTTGCTGTCGTCAATATCGGGTCTTCTCGCAAAAATATTGGTCATTAAACATCATTTTGCGTAAGTATCCTTGGTTATATATTAATGGAATGCGCTTCAAATACCTTCAAGTACTTGGAGTTGAATGCGATTGCTCATATTAAGAAATGAGCTATTACATTGTTATTACGTATCGAATAAAAATACACACGTGTGCAGCGGAACACTGGTAGTTCTGAAATGCTTAGTAAAAAAAGTTGGGATCTTTTTTTAAAAAATAAAAAACATCATTCTTTGAATTAATATAATATTCTTTTGTTTCTTTTAAATTTATTTAATTTACTAAAAAAATATAGGCAAAAACGTTATTCATTAATATTGTTTTATATTAACTTATAATATAAAAAAAAATCTGTTTTTTTTTGCCAGAAATTATGTCAAAATCCGAATTTGCGATCGATTGAAATAACGCATAAATAAAATAATCAAGTCAGAATTATTGTAATTTATAAGCTATTTTTTACATCTGTCCAAGAGTTAAAATCATCAATTCGTGCTAAAAATCAGCGCATAATATGCGTCGCTTCTGAATTAATTCTCATAGTCAAAAATTAATTATATCCCATATAGCATAAGGGATTTTTAATTCATAGAGCTGTTGCCTGATGTTTCCTTAATACAAAAGTTTTATAGCTTATATGGACCACACGATACGATAGTGTACCACTCAATGCATGACATGCACAAACAATATTGAGTTTATGAAACTAAGATTAAAAGATTAAAAAGAAAGATTTATATTGATTTGCAAATGACGTGTATACGAACGCTGAGCAAAAGACTCGAAATGGTAAACAAAGCAATATAGTAGGTGTTCGATTTTCTAAGAAATAGCGTTGCAATATGTTAGATAAAGACAGATGAATGCGTTTGAGAGAGACACAGCGATACATAATAAGTATAAAAATGAATGAAAGATGTCACTACTACCGAATTTGGAATAGTTTAATCGATAATACAAACGGTCTTCCTTAAAGTGTGAAAGATATGCATAAAAAAGGCTATTGGATAAACCGGTTTTGTATCAAAAATGAAGAAAAATTAAAAATATTTGTTCTTGGCATGTACAGCTGTTATATATTAAATGACAGTATGTATTTGCAATACAAAAATTATACAGTTTATTTGTATAAAATGAAATAGTCTTATTGACGTAGAGACAAAATAATATACGGATATTGTACAATTGAAAATAAAAATTCTTTATTTCCTTAAAAATTTAAAAAATTGGACGTTCTATAAATGTAAATATAGATGAGATACAGGATGATAGAAATTTTCTATCATCCTATATCTCTATTTGCCCTTATAGAACGTTATTATATCGATATTTTTAGTTTATAACGGTTGGAACAAAATTGTGCCGTATATTTCAAGATAACGTTTACGTAAAATTTTATGTACTGCAATTAAGTTTACACGAATCTTTTTCAAGTAAATAAACAATGTAAAATATGTGAATTATTTAAATTGGATGACACAATACAGAAAAGAGCAATTGAATTTTCTGATTGTCAATATATTTAATTGTAGTATTAATAAATAAAATATAAGCGAGATAAATGCTTAGCTTTTGCAGCTTAGTGGAACAATAAAGACTTTAGAACAATATAGACTTTGATGACATACTCGATTTCTAAACTTTTGGGGCCAGTCTTGAAAAAAAGAGTGAAAAATTTTTACTCTTGAACAAGAGTAGCGGATTTTTACTCTTTCCAAGTAAGATTTTTCTAAGGGCGGAATCTATAGATATTTTTTTGCTCAAGATTCGAGATGGTCTTAGCCCGGATCCTCATCAACAACAGCGCTTTGACACAGAGTGCTGATTGATGAAAAGCTGGTTGTAGGGGTAAAATTTACCCCTATCATCCGTTTTTTACCAATCTGCGTTCGGTCAAAGCGCTGTTGCCCGTATGACGATCCGCGCTTAAGCTAGTGCTTGAGATGTCATGAAATCAATCAGAGAGTCGTATCAGCATCTTAAGACATTGGGTGCATTCAGAACGACAACCGTTCAGTGAGCTCTTTTATCTGATTGGTCTATATTTTAGCATCTAATGGAATATGCCAATCAGATAAAAAAGCATATTGAGCGTTCAGTGGTTATCGTCCTGAATGCACCTATTGCTTGAGATTGGCCTAATTTCCATCGAAGATTTAAACCGGATCAGAATGTAAGAACCAACCAACTACAGTTGAGTTACAGTCAAACGACAGGGAAATGCTCGACTGTAGTTGGTCTTACATTCTGATCCGGTTTAAACTCTTGATGGAAACTAGACCACTGGCTCATCGACTTAGGTTTGCGTCTTATGCCTAGTTCAAACTAAACGTAGCAAGCGTCAAACAGCAGAGTTGCAGCGAGGTGATATTTATAGTGGCATAAAAAACACCGCCTTGCTGATTGGTTGCTGCTCTGCTGCTTGACACTTGCTGCTTTCAGTATGAACTAAGCATTAGGGCGCGCTCCCATAGGATGCGGAACTGCGAATATGCGGAACTATGGAACGTTCGTGATTGGTCGTGGCTTTATTTCACCGATTCCGCCGTTTTCTGTTATACGCAAATTCATTTCTTTTGCAGATTTCGCCGATGCTTGGGTGTGTGCGTATATGTATATATACTTATAAAAACTAATCTCATTAACCTGATTTTAACAAAGAAAACTGTTTTCTACAAGTGCATGATTAATCAACATGATGAGGCGTGTTCGGATTCTCACTTGGGCTGCATTCTGATTCCCCATGTGCCTCGGGCACACCCAGAAAGCGTTTCTTTTTGGATTGCCTTTATTGGGCGTTTAGATGAAACGTTCAGATTCCTACTCTATCCATCCGGTTCCTTGAACCGGGTGGAATGGATGGTATTGGCGCATTAAAGACTTTCTGTGCTATCCCAGCATGTTTGACGTGCATCTATACAAAAATTTAAATTTTAGATTATGTCTGTTATAAACAGTATAAACATAATTGTTATAACAGTATAAACATAACTCAAAGGAATATTTAATTATCTATTAAGTTTTACAGGTCGGGACTTAGATATTGGTAAGATATTTATTTTATACCTTTTATCATTATTATGTACGTATATTTTAGTTATATATAATTATATGTATATATAATATATATATGTATGTATATATAGATAATTCATATTAAATCTGATATATTTACGTTACTATTTGCTGTAACCAATACTTGTAGGACACTCTTGTCTTAGAGTGTGCTCAAATTCTCAAATCACCCCTACTTTTCGCTGAGTGTTTTCTGGGTGTTATGTCATTCTTGTTTAACATTTGGTAAATAACAAAAATGGAGTGATACCTGAGTAGCACTCGGGTGGGAATCTGAACATAATCCTGAAGATAATTAATGAAGTCTGCAGATAAATACGGAGGTTAATATAATCAGAACACGATCAATGTCGTATATAATAGTATACAGAAAGGTAAAAATGTAAATCAAAATCAAAATAGGTTGGAGCAATGCCCTTATATGTATATTCCTTATATGTAATTTCTGATCCGGAGAAATTCATTTTCTTATGTTTTATTGGGCGGAATTTGCGGATATGCAATCAATGCTAGCCAATAATAAACGCTATTTTGATAGATCTAATGAAAGTGATCTACGGGAAGACTTACGATTGGTCAGAGCTAATTGAGCATTCCGCAAATTCCGCTCAATGAGATGTAAGAAAACACATTTTAGCGGAACGGAATCAGCGGAATGAAGCCATGACCAATCACGAACGTTCCGCAATTCTGCATCCCCCCTGCATGGGAGCGTACTCTTACAGTCACTGTTTCGGAATTTTGTGTGCGACAGCTCTAAAACGGGAAGCACAGATTTTTGCATAATATATAACACGTAATGCATAAGAAAATGAACCAATCGAAGTCCTTTATTTCTTTTCTTTCCATGAAATAAAGGATTCTGATTGGCTGATTTTCTTATGCCTCATGTGTTATACGTGTTATGCAAGAGTCTGTGCTCCCCGCTTAAATCTTAACTCTTACTAGAGGAATTTCATTTTGTAATCGTTAGGGACTCCGCACAATCAAAGGAACAGAGAACAGAGAATAAGAATTTCAATCTAAAATCAAAATCATGTATTGTGAAATACACAGTTTCTGATAGGTTGAAATTCTTATTATCTGTTCTCTTTTCCTTATTCCTTTTATTGTGCGGAGCCTCTTAGTTACGATAGGTTTGATGTTCTTCGATTGAATAAAATAATTTTTAACAGAGAAAAGAATTTTGATTTAATCAATCTTTTTCACAAATTCTGTTTTACAGAAATTCAAAATCTTTACTGAAATATAGACAAACAATTAGATAAATATATTCCTACTATTAATCAGGAAAGTCGTTAAAAAAAATTTATTTATAATACATACAGCTGAAGATTAGCTACTATATATGATTTGTAATATGCAATTTAATCGATATATTTCAGTATTAAAAATCAGAGTGGAAGAAATTATATTTCTATTTGCGAATTTATGAAAATCACAAAAGGGAATGAATAACGAGAAAAGAAGTATAAAATTATATAGCTGATGTAATTGATTTTTTAAAAGAAATACGAAACGAAATAAGGAAAAAGACGAAAGTTTGTAAATATTGCACAAAATAACCATTTTG